GGGAGTCGTGTGGAGTGGGGTTGGGGGGGGTGCCACTGATTAAGGTGATTACCATAGGGTGATAGGCTTTCGAAAATTATCATGTTAACTATATTTTCAATTATTTTGTTTCTGAAAAGTGACTATTTTGTGACAACGGGTCCAGCAAACTTCGTTGTCAGCAAACATGAAGGCAATTATCATCTATCGTATATCCCTCGAAAATAAATCATTCTGTATGAAGCAAATAGATACATTCCAATTATACAATAGTATAATATTTAAACCGCTAACTTTTAGACCACTAAATTTAAATTGCTAACTTTTTATGTTACCTTGCATAGTGTTCGTTTTAACTCTCATTTTACCAAGCTTGCCAATCTCTGCAACTTCCATCAATGGTTTAAGGGGATTTTCGACTTTCTTCGTAAATAACAGTTCAAATTCCACAATTATACTGCCGCGCCTGTGACACAACACAAAAGAAAGGAAAAAGAAAGCATATTAGACAAGTGCCTGCTTGCGACCTTAAATTAATTAAATTGGTGCCATTCTTATTTTTATTTATGACACATTGTTTCTCCATTCAGTGTGGATTATAAGCATTTTGCTTGGATCTGACAAATGTCCGACAAGACTAGTAGTGTGCAGTTGCTTGGACATTAGGGAACTTTAGATTGGCTTCGGCTGCGAAATCTATAGTACAACTACGAGATTTTTCCCATTAAATATCAGCTACTAAAAGTTATAATAGTACGTGATTTGGCGCAACTGTTGCTATAAAGATGAATGCAAAAGAAAGGACGATAGAAAGTCTGTAGTAGCAGATATTTAACGGAAAAAATCTCGTAGTCGTACCAGATTTCGTAGCCGTAGCGAAGCTAAAGTTCCCTAATGGCTAAAAATGGCCGGCCAGCTTTTCAGTATTTACATTTATAGCATCAACATCTCGATTATCGCCATTTACTTTGAAAATATTTACCTGAATCCTTTGATGATAACATAACTAAACCCAACACGGTCCTTGTAGACTTTTCTTATCTACAAGTATGATAAGAGAAGATAAAACATTTTAAGCGAAAACCAAACATTTTGAAGTCTTTATCTATATTTCGAAGTTTTTGCACCATACCTACCTCAACCGTTAATTGCGATGCGAGATTTTTGTACGTTTTTGATGTTTTCGTTTTCAGTTGATCATCCCATTTTTGATCTGTCAATGTCATTTCAGATACCACTGAACTTTTCTCTATATTAGCAAAATTTTTATGTACTATTTAAAAAACAAGCAAGAGTGTTTTATTAGGTTTAACAACACGACCCGCGAGTTTTTTAAATGACTTCAAAAACGTATGCATAATAAGTCAAATCTTTATATAAAAATCTTTATATAAAAATCTTTATATGGTTTGCATTAAAATTTTCTCTCCCCCCCCCATTTTTCCGGACCTATAGCAAAAAAATTTTCCGGACATACACATTTTTTAAACAAAATATTGCAAATTTTTCCCCTTATACCTAAATTTTCCAAAAATACCCTAAATTTTCCCTTAATTATCAAAATTTTTCAAGAAAAAACAAAATTTTCTGGGGGGGCTAAGCCCCCCCCCCCCACTTTTACTTCTGGGGGGGCTTTAGCCTCCTAGCCCCCCCCCCCCTGTTCCGCCGCCACTGAGCTAATATCGAATCGGAATGATAAAAAACATATGGATAGAGTGGAATAGAAATAGCGAAGAACAGAATAGTTTAATTTGATTTTTTCCAAACCTTCAGTTGGTTTTAGTGCACACTGTTTTCCATCTCCTTCAAACAATGTTGGACATTCTTCACAAGTAAATCCTTCAGAATTCTGAGCAATAGAACACTCGAGACCTGGATAACATGGCAGTTCATTACAAGGATTTGGACGTATTTCACATCGGTCACCTGTGTAAGGATCTTCACATTGACAGAGATAATCTGATAGTTGAATTGGATATACAATGGTCTTGTTTTGATAACATTTACCATTGTGCACACATGGACATTTAAAGGCATTCACTTGAAGAATTAAAATATTCTTTGCACCCATCTCATCTTGAACTTGTACATAAACAGTTCCATTTTCTTTCAGATTCGATATTGTAAGTAATTGTTTCGAGATTTGTGCTGTGGTCAAAGTTCCATTTAGCAACAAGGTGAATGTCATGTCTTGATTCTCAGGGTCTACCGCCATAATCTGAATTTTAGTGTCATTATTCAAGATGGCGTTTACTGTTCTTGGGGTGGTAAACTGAGGAGGTCGATTTTCTAGAAAATTAAAATTACGCAGTGTTGGCTTTGTTTCACATTACTATTGTTTGTAAACATCACATTTTATAACGCATACCTATATGTTAGTTATTAAATAAGACGTTTAATATAAAGTTGATGGTGTGTTAATGAAAAAACACAGCAACACACAAGAGTTTCACAGATTGTTTTCCTTATATTTTCCTCAATTTTAAAAATTAATCTGGAACAGCGGTAAATAATTTTTAAAACTTTATATATGGGTATGATACAAATATTGCTTTCCTGTTTGTCACTGAGGTTCTCTGTAAACTCTTCAAAGAAGTTGTCCCAGAACGATTTAGAGTATACCTGCACAGTCTTGTATTCCATCTCCAAGGAATCCCTGGTTACATTGACAAGAATAAGATCCGATTGTGTTTGTACATTTTGCATGTTGATGACATACTGATGGTGATTGGGAACATTCATCGACATCTGAAATTATGAAAGACACCGATATACTCCAATGTTTGGTCGGCTTTTAATTTGTAAGCATTTTTTTCACTTTTGACACATAATGTCAATGAGTATTCTGTAGTGCATGTCGTCATGCAGAGACAAATTTACACGAATAATGAATATAATAATATACATCAGTTAATGGGAACCCATACATTTCATGGTGCAGCAATTTTTCGTCAGCTCAACGAATGCTGGTCCAATTTTCTGTTAGATTTTTCATTGGTTTACGCTCAAATATAAATAGGTAAATAGGTAAAGTTTTCATGTATACCTGTACAATTGACAATACCATCTCCAGTGAATCCGCTATCACATTGACAAGAAAATGTTCCTTCAGTGTCAGAACATTTAGCCAAGGAATGACAGACAGAATAAGATTGTTTGCATTCATTAATGTCTAAGAAATATACATAAAATGAAGTTAAATTTTACAGTTTCCTTGCATGCCAAAGACAATGCAATGGAAACAGTTGATCTTAACATACAGTACATACAGCTAATTCAAAAAAGGTTATCCTTTGCAAACCTTAAGCCCGCCGCACACGAGAGCAACTTGCTGAGCTAATCGCCTCGCGAGGCAGCTAGCTCAGCTATGTATTTTCACCGCACACGTTGGGAAAACTACTCAACAACAACATAATTGGCAAAATCATTTGCATTTTCCTCCATTTTGTTCCAAGTCACATGAAGAAACCATGGTTTGTCGTTGGCTAATTGATTCAAACAGCTCAGCACATAGCTCACAACATCCGCAGACGCTGAGATTTTTTCCTCGCGAGGCGAAAAATATCAAACACGATAGATATTTTCCTCAAGGCCTCGAGAGGTCAAATCCTCACGAAAACTATCCGCACACGAGAGCAACTTGCTGAGCTAACCGCCTCGCGAGGCGGTTAGCTCAGCAAGTTGCTATCGTGTGCGGTCGGCTTTAAACTCTAAGCGCGCACCATGTCTCTAAGAAATGGATCCCATATGTGATTTCTAAACTGATTAAATGATGCTCCCATTATGCTTTGCACGCTTAGAGTTTAAGGTTTGCAACGAAGCCGTTTGCTCGTATTTATCAGACACTTTTTTAATACCTATACATGCATATACATGCAGTAAACGAAACTTAATTTGGAAGAATGTTGCTTACAGTACACTGTATATTAAGGTTATAGGCTAGAAGAATAAATATACCGTTAGATTTGATTTTCCATAGCAAAGAACCTTTTGCATTCAAAACAAGCAACAGCCTATTGTGTCCGAAAAAGCGTTCAAAATCTTCTGAAAAAATCGCCAATGTTTTTTATAGCTGCGTGATCTGATAACCTTGGGTAACTTAATTTGCGTGCATCTTTTCTCTGCAGACGAGATTTTGCATACAAGTCCTTGATAGAGTGGCTTTCTACAATGACTGCTATATCATTTGAAAACTTTTCAAGAAATATAGCAAATATATATATAAGTACAACAAGACTGGCCTGAATGGTGTAGCCTAAATAACTTCTGAAATGAACCAATTCATGGTGTATATCGACAGTGTAAATTAAAAGCATCATATAGATTGTGTCGTGTGCCATGCAAGAGTTTTGGTTTTATCATTTTGAGAACAGTTGATCTAATTTTAACGAACTGATCAGCCAGAAACATGAACAAATTTATAAATTTGCACAATATCCTTCTTTATATGCTTATTAGTCTTGTGATGAAATGTTACACTGTAAAATTTGTAAAATTATTGTAATCAATCATAACTAATTTTGCATCACTTAAAAAGCGTAATGAAATCTTAAAATGCTAAATGTTTAAAATAGTAAGAGTTCTAAAAGTCCCTTTCGACACTCGTTGTATTAATTTGCATTTTACTAGTTTCGTCGTTAGACCTTTTCAGAATCCGCCATTTTATTTCTTTAATTTTTTAATTTTTTTTTAATTCGCGAAATTTCAATATATATCTAATTTTAATGTTGATGTTTAATGTTAATGTTTAAGTACCCGCGCGGCCAGTGTATTAGCAATGGTAGTTCCTGATTGTGAGTTGCAGCAAGCAGCATCTTATGTATATATAGGCTACTGTGTGTCAGTATCCTCACCTGTACAGTTACTGTAACCATCACCCGAATATCCCACAACACATTGGCATACATAAGATCCTACAGTGTTTGAGCATTGACTATTTTGAATGCACACGTTGGGAGAAGTGCACTCATCAATATCTGCATAGAGGAGAATGTAAACAAAAATTAGAAAATACAGCAGGGATTTCAAAAATTTTACCAACGCTCATAGTAAACCTATAATTTTGTAATACCTGAACAGTTAAGTTTACCATCACCAGTATAACCTTTCAAACATTGGCAGGAATAACTTCCTTCAGTGTTGGTACAGTTGGCATTTTGATGACAAATATCAGGAGTTTGTACGCATTCATCCACATCTAAATAATATGTTTTTCATTTCAATAGCATTTTAAATAACAAAAACAATCAAGCCCACTTGAAGTGTATTCGTTCACAAGTTTACAACATCGGAATGCATATGCAAAGTCTGGTCAAATTACATTCAGACTCTGTGGTGTGATTCGTTTCCTTTATCTGTGGAGTTTTTTGGTTTTTCTTTTAAATTGTTATGAATTGCTTATGATATATTAATGCTCTTTCTGAAACGTTTAGTTTGAAGGGTTTATTATACGTACTTTCACTATTTGATTAAAAGTGGAACTATACAGTGATTACTATACCTGTGCAATTGTTCTTGCCATCTCCTGTGTACCCATTTGCACACTGACACGCATAAGATCCATTATTGTACATACATTTCGCGTTACTATAACATACTTGAGGTTTTATCACACATTCGTCCACCTCTAAAAATTTTAAATATGTTTAAATTAATTTTTACACATGAAATATGTCAATATCATATTGTACCAAATTGTTATGACAACAGGCTCACCTCTGAGCATTAGCCGTAGAAGTCACTTGAAATTAGTAAAATTTGAAAACAAGCTACGGTAGGTTGTCCCAAGAACCAGTTTCGTTAAAGTATGACTATGAGATATGACTATGTGAATTTTTGGTACAAAAAACAAAGGAAAACTAATTTGCAATTCACCTAATGCAATTCACCATATTCGGAACTTTGACAGTCAAAAGTTGATCAAGATGGATTTTTTATTATAAAGATATATTACATTTCTTCTTCGAATGACCTAAATATTACACGTACCAAAAATCGTATTTGGGGTTAGTCGCACTTTAACTTTGACCATTTAGTAACTGGAATTGTTGCTTCAGAAATCAGCTTACAATATTTACCAATCTTTTTAATTTAAATACTATTTATTTCAATCCTTTCTATTTATATATACTTGTGTATATATTGCCTTTTTATTGCTTTTTATCATGTTCCTTATTTAAATTAACTACTATTTAGTTTTAGTGTTTTAATTGGCAAAAAAAGTTAAACGTTGATAGTTACTGGCATTTAAAAGGTGCACATGTTAACAAAAATAGCACGACTTTGTGTGGTTTTTGGACAGCATGTGATGCATAACTGTTCGTTTGGCCTGAATAACGTGTCGTGATTGTTTTTAGGATATTTTTATGAATACAAAATGTACAGAAGAGTGCCGTCGGAAGCAAGTTGTTAGGGAGCTTTAGATTTGACTACGAGTACGACTACGACTACGAGATTCGTCAAGCGAAACGCATGCTTCCCGTACTGTGGCGAAAAAGTCGTACTCGTCGCCCATCTGAGTACGAAATTGTGGAGAAATCTCGTAGTCCTCACTACGACTTTTCAAAAAAACAAAGAAAGTTGGCTTTTTTTTGTTTTCCAAAAATAATTTGTAGCATTTATATAGCGTTTATCCGGCGCAAAT